TTTTTTTTTTTTCTTTTTTTTTTTTGGTTCCTTTTATATATCCTGGCTAAGAAAGATTGTCAACTTTCCCAGGCTACAAAGGCTTTGTTTTCTTAGAACACAAAAGGCTCTTTTGATCACTCTTGAGTTAATTTGAGTTGTAAGTGTCTGCCAGCTTTTATAGTCAAAATCTTGGGACTGGAGGTTGTTTTGATGGGTTTTCAGAATAGATAATGCCTATAAATTTGGCCTCAAATCCTTTTCTCTCAAGTTTTTTTTTTGTGTTTTGTCCATTCATAAAATTATCTTTGGTTGCCCTTTTGTTTTTCTGAAATTTGTTGTGGAGATGGAAATTAATGAGGAAAAAAACTGTTAGTTTACACAATAAGTTACCTATAGTGGCATGGTTTAAATGTCCATGTTGCACCAACTTGTAGTGCACTCCAATCTTCATGCAATGCATAGCTATATATTAAAGTTCAAATTCTCTATTAAAATCATCTTTTGAAAAAATAAAAATGTCTAATGTTATTTTTTTATTCTTTTGACATCATATGGGATCATGAATGATGAGGATGACACAATAATTTGGATATTCGTTTCTTGCGTTTTCATGTCTGTTTTTGCTTAATCTTTTTTCAGCTTATTGGAGTTGCTATTTGACCCTAATATTATCACAAATTAATATGTAGGTCTAATCGATAGGTCTGTCGAATAGTATCCTTAGTGCAATATTCAGAAATGTGCTTGATGTTTGTAATATTCAGAAAATACACATATACCTATAATAAAAATAAAGAAAATAAAATAGTAATACATGCCTAGGCTAGCAAGGGGAACATCAACTTATTGAGGTAGAGAGATCTTACATGCTTTAGCTGTTGCTGTAATTAACTAGAGAACGGCTTTTCTAACACTTGGAAGCAAAGAATGTCCGTCTAAAATGTATTAATATTGTGCTTCATTTGGTACTCTTAAAAAATCAACTTATTATATACAAAAGACTGGCTAATTATGACACTCAGTTGTATAGTTGTATAATTGCTTTTTCTTATTGGCTTAAGGATCTTGTATGTAAAGACTCTATTTTGATCAACTAATATAAGTTCCTTATTCCGTAAAAAAAATAAAATTGGCATGTAAGTTTTGGCAACCCTAAAAGCTGATGATTAGAGTTGGAAAATTCTGCATGTATATATAGAAATGGATCTTAGTGAAATCAAAATTAACAAGATTTTCAGAATATGGCCTTCGTGTGTAGTGGTTTTATTGTCCTTTTTAGGTTTCTTGAGACCGATCAGACGGTCCTTATGAAGAGTGGCTTACATGTTAGATTTCATTATGTATGGTTTTTTTATTTCTGATAATATGTAACGTCCAATTAATAGATTTCATTATGCTATTAATTGGACGTTAGATATTATCAGAAATAAAAAACCATACATAATGAAGTCTACTGAAAAAAAAAAAAAACCCTGATGTTGAAGGTATCATCAACTACATAGATAACTAATCGCTGGATTTTCATTACAACAAAAATAACCCAAATTTGGTCTAATTACCAGAAACTCAACATCATAACAGTATTACACACATTCCTTGAGGTTTGCATTTTCTTGACAGTAAACTGGAACAAAATACTGAAGGTGTATGTCGCAATTTCGACATAAAATTGGGAGATATTCTGTGATTAAACTAAGCCCCAACACAGTTTATATAGTAATTAACCCGAGTTAAGCTATGGATCGTTTGTCCAAGAAAGCTGAGGAAAGTTTAACTTCCTGATACAAAAACTTCATAATGAAACTTCACAGATCATACAACCCCTAAGCAATTCTAAATAAGGCAAAGTAAACACCATCTCAATGAAAAACAAATCGGTCGAATATTCAAAGAATATCGAACAAAATATTATCATCAGTAAATCAAATCAAACCAAGAACCCGAATATGCATCTCTATTCATTCTTCCAAGCATACAAAAATAAAGAAAACCCATGAGTTGGCAATTTAGCACCCCTAAATTCCTCCGAGCACACAAACAACGAGTCACAAGCCCAAGTACCTGCCCACATTTTTTCCGCAGGTAAACTCGTCTGGAACATGAAAACCGCTTTCCCTGAACTTGGACTAAACAGCCAATTGTGCACGTCCCAAAATACCTCCACCGGCATCCCGTCAACCACGATCGTCAAATTCCCACGAAATTTCCACTTCAAATGCTTCACTTGCATAACCGTTTTTGAGTCTATTCGAACCACAAGAAACGGGTCATCCCCATAATTCGTATTGCATTCGATTTTCAAGTCGTGAGTTTTCCCATTTTCGCAAAATTGAGCCTTTGTGCAGAAAATCGACTTTCCACATACGTGCTCCCTTTTCGAAACAAAGATGGAGCCCGAGAGCCGAGCTGTGGAGCCCATTTTCTTAAATGCCTCATCAATTAGATCTCCAACAAGTAAAACCATCTCACCTTTACACACTATCCCGAGGTAATATGAACTTACGGGCTCTGGCCCGGATCCAAATTTCGCCACTGAGAGATCCCAAAAGATTTCGACTTTACCAGAATTCAGCTGTAAAGACTTTGAGCCTTTCCTTTTGGAGAATAAAGAAGGCTTCACGTCGAATTTGCTGATGAACTTATGAGAATCATTATCTATTTCGACATTAAGGCATTGGGCCATCAAACCCTTGCTCCACACAAGGCTAATCAAGCAAGGTTTTTCAAACAGTTCACATCTATAAATGCAGGTCACAGTGTTCTGAGAGGCTTTACTTACATTTACACTCGAACAAGATGGATCGGCAACTTGAACTCCATTCTCCCCAAAGCAAGATGGAAAGTCTCTCATTTTTTAGAACAATAATAACCCAAAAAAAAAAAAAAATCCTCACTTTGTTTTCTGGTCTTCTTTCTTTCACTCACCAGTGACCTTCCTTGGGCTGTATTTCAGCAAACACAAGATTTTTATGCACCCTTTTCACAAGAGAGAAGAAAAGGACCACAAGGAAGGTAAAAAAGAACACCTGTAAGTAAGAAAAAACAATACCGAAAACAAAAATTGAATCTTTGGTGAAATTTTCAAGAACCCATTATGGGTTATGCTTTGGATGGGATTTTGATTCTTGGGTTGAGATGGAGGTGGGTTTTTTTGGAGTTGGGGTGATGTTAAGCAGTGTTGGGAGTTCAACGAGGAGTTAGTTTTATATTCTTATTAAGGTGCAAGAAATATTGAACTGTGCTCAACGAAAGGACGAGAAGCTCAAGATTAGGGGCAAATTTTGCGGAGTAAGCTCAAGAAATATATTCTTAACAGAATTACCGTCAGGGACACTTTTATTTTTCTCTCCGTTCAAAGGAAAAAAGTAACTTGGCCTCACAAAAGACAACATACCAAATAGACATGTTTGAAATTTTTGAAGGGTATGTTTTCACATAATCTAGAGTTTTTAGACGAACTAGTATTCGATCATGTGCTACATATACAAATTAAATTTTATACGTTATATATATGTATTTTATGTAATATTTAAAATCATAAGTTGTATAATGAACATGTCACATTTTATAAAATTTTATCATTAGCGAACATGAACTATATAAATATAAACTATTTAACTAAATAATTAAAAAAAATTAATAATTTAAATAAATAGTTTGAAAAAATCTTTAGAATAAAATAACATTTAATGTGGCTTTATTATTAGTTAATAGTAGCAATTATATAACAAAATAAATAAAAAATATAATTGATTGATTAATGAAAAGTAACGGAAAAATGCGGAAAAGTAAAAAGTGTTTTATTAATTGCTTTGCTAGTAATTATATATATGTAAATTAAGAGCTCAAGTCGGGCCAAACATTAAAACTCTTTTAGTTAACATACCAACTCGTGTTGGCTTGTAAAAGCTCGAAAATGTATATATATTGTAATTTATATAGTTTGGGTCGATAAGGGTATGATTGGATATGAATTTAATTATTTTTTTAGGGTTTTTTTTGTTAACTATATTTAATTTTGAAAAATGTGATATGGTTAGTTGTTAGTGAAAGTTTAAGTTTATATTAAAAATAATATTTAAAATAAAATAATTAAAGCTGATTTGATAAAAAATACTGTTGGAATTAACCAAACAAAACCAAAAGCAAAGAAAGAAAAAAAAAATACACACACCTAATACACAAAATAGAGTAAAACCTCTTCTAATCCTAATAGAAGAACCACATAATCACTTAGCTGACAACCGAGTCCCAAACCACAACTAGGAAACCCAACAGAGCAACAAAGCTAGACTTCAAACCCCAAAACTGCAGACAGTCATGCCGCCTAGTCAAATTTTCGGACCAGATTTGGACTCTGCTGGATGTCGGCACTGAGAAAAAGAGAGAGAGTCGACAAAACACCTGAGGGCTTAGGTTAGGACAAGACTCCAGGAGGGCCCCGCTCAGGACTGCGAGAAGCTGTGCAGCTCTTCGTCCCGGCAACCAGACCGGACCGAGCGCATCAGCGCGGATGAACAAAGCACGACAGCCTCCAAAAAGCAGAGAGAGAAGCGCACATACCAACGAGCACCCTGCGGCGCAGTTGACTCCCACGATTGGAGCGGGATACGTCAATCGACGACCCTTCCCGGAGCATGGGAGAAAGTCTGACCGACGAGATCCACCGGCGGCCATGATGCCCACAAGGCTTCGGTCGAGGTGGAATAGAGTGCACTAGCCATGCCTCGGCCTATAGATTATATTTTGTGTAGAATAAATCATTAATAGTTTATAGATTATAGATTAGGTGAGCAACCGTATAGTCATTTATAAAACCGCATCAAATTATAAAATTCAATATAAAATTTTATTATTTGTCAAATCAAAGTGCATCGTAAATTATAGTTTAGCTGATGTCAACATGGAGTATATGTCACACATCCAATGAATGCGAGTGCCACATTAAGGGTTGCATAAACCCATAAGTTACAAAACAACCCAAATAGAATTTCTGGGTATAGTTGGGGTTATTTCTTTCGGTTATCCTTTTTCTTTCATTTTTGAGCACAATGCCCAAATTTATACGTTCATTTAACAAATCAATGACATCATGCTTCAGTCACCTTTAACAACCATTATTTTCTTTTCACTTCAAAAGTTGATGAATTTCACTCCATCAAAAGAAAATCAACGCATATCTCAACACAAACTTAAGACAAAAAGCGGAGAAAAGAACTAGAATTTGGAAATTCGGGGACGCAAAAATAACATTATTGTGTTCCACCGTAGATTGAAATACACTCTATATACCGAATATTTGAGAGATGCAACGTGAGTTGGATTTTTTCCCCCTTTTTTTTCCCCCTATTTGGGCTACCTAAACAAAGTGTAGGATTTTCGTACTTTCTACATTAAAAGTAAGTCATCGCAATTGATTCGATTTAAGTCAATAAATGGTAATTTTTTTTTCCCAAATTCTCCTTGATTGATGTAATAAAAATATGAAACAAAGTCATCCATCCATTTGATTTCCCGCATATGTTTTAGACTTGAGTGAAATTGTGCTTTATGCTCTTAGATATTCTTTATTTACTTATTTTACACAATTTAAAAATAATCATGTACCACAAAAATTCTATGTAGCCATTAGATAATTTTCGTATGGAGCCATCCACCATTTAATGTATTAACACCTGTTCAAATTGTATTTTTTGTAGGACACATGTCAATACACTACTGGTGAATAATGTGGATGGTTCCATAAATCAAACCATCCGATAGTTTCATAATAAAACTGCTACATATATGGGGATACAATTTTCAATAACATCTCTCCTATTTTACATCGCACAATTTTAATCATTATATTTTAAATATTATTTAAATATAAATTCAAAATCTCATTTAATATTTCACTCAGTCGATTTTACTCAAAATTTACTCATGTTAATCAATAAATCCAATCAAAAACAATTTTTCGTTATATCCAATCCCGCATAAAATTTTGAGTCCGTAAGGAAGTGTCTTTGAGTCCAAACATTAAAATTCCACATTTAAATTAGATGTTGGCACTTAAATTCTAAAACAATTGTATTACTATACAGCGAGATATATTCCACTACAGGTGGAAGTCAAGATCGACCAGATATCGAATAGATAATGATTATAAATTAAAAACATTATTGGACAAAAGCTCATCCAAAATGTCTCATAACAAATTAACAATCCTCAACGAAATTGACTTCCTGATTGCAGTCTAATTATAGGTGCAATCAAGCAGTCTTATGTAGGTGCAAATTGATTACCTTTAAAGTCAGAGCTTAACAGTCAAACCACTGAAAGTCTTGCTTTGAAGTTAGATGAAATGAGAAAGGAATGAAGGAACAAAAACTGGGAGGATTGGGAAAGAATCAAACAGGATCTAGATATGGTTTATTGTTCTGAAGAAGAATTTTGGAGACAGGATGTAAGAACACAATATTTTTCTAATGTCTTAACTCCCTATTGAAAGAGAGAAAATAAATATTGAAAGTCAATTTCGAATCATTAATGTCCATAATTTACTCCTATCAATTAATCAAATAACATATTATTATCAAAATAATATTAGCGTATTTTTTCACTAATGTTCTACTTAAAGAGTTATTATGTACTAATATGTGGTATAATTGACTTTAAAAAAATCAAGGAGTAATTAAACACATAATAAGGTACTTAGCAATGGTGCATGGGATAATTTTCTCATTCATCATAAACAATTCTTACGGGCTTGTTTTCTGCATAGATTATGCATTATATTTTGTTGATATCCTAGTTACATCATACATACCTAGCGGTCGAGCCAGATCAGGGCAGATCGGGCCAGGCCCATTTCCTAAAGAATACACTAAATATTGAAAAATATGTCAAAATACAACACAAATAATTGCCCAGTTGCTTTTAAGAAGTTACGAACTTAATTTTCTTCTTAATTATCACCCATCGTTTTTACAAACGACAAATGAGTCCTATTGCTGATTGCTCCATTGATAGTTCCAAAAGCATGATGTCTTTTGTAATCATAGACATGTGCCAATTTTATTATACAAAACATAACGATAATGGAAAACTAATAAGGCAAGGATACTCCTAAAGGAATACAACTTTTCACCAGTCATCTCGACTCATCTGAAAGGAGTTGATCGTAAAGTCGTTTTGAGTCTCATCCCCTGATAACGAAACCCAACTTTCATTTCGGAACTTAGCCGCTCTCATTTTGAAGTTAACCATTAGACTCATTACAAGACTCTTTCCTAAACAGTTGTCTCTCTTCCCCAAGTCCCAAGAAGAAAAAAAAAAAAAAAAGTCAGACCTGAACACAATCTCCTCTCTTTCGCTTTAATTCCTCCTCTTTCACGGGTTGACCAGCGTTGGGATGGAGCTCGTCAGCATTTCTCTATGTTGACGATATGATCATGACGGGAGATGATGTTACCGGTGTTTCCGATTACAGGACTATCTTCTTCAACATTTTTAGATGAAGAGTTTGGGTCAGCTTCGCTAGTTTTTTCCGATTTCTTTATAAACTACTTTTTGGTTTGTTTGTTGGTGTCAGGGTTGTGTTGGGGGACGTGTCGGTAGTGGAGTCCTATGATTGTTGTCTGGTGGTGATTCATTTGGAATTGAAGGAGGGTCAGTCCTTGTTGCTTTGGGTCTAGTTAGCCATAGTCTGTTGAGTTAAGGAGTTTGGAATTGCTAGACTTTGGTCAGGGCTTGATTCTTTTTCTTCGGCTTATCATCGGTTGTCACTTTCTCTAAGGAGGTTAGGATTTTGATGCCGACGAGAGTCCGTTAGTATTTCTCGATACATATGATCGACTCCGTCTTTTA